GACAGAGACAGACACAGCAAGAGCAGGAACACAAGCAGGGGGAGTGGGAGAGGAAGAAGCAGGCTTCCTGCAGAGCAGGGAGCCCGATGCGGGGCTCCATCCCAGGACCCTGGGATCATGACCTGAGCCGAAGGCAGACGTTTAATGACTGAGCCACTCAGGTGCCCCCTAAGATCTTTTTAAAAAAGGACTCATATGCTCTACTGACTGAGCCAGCAAGGTGCCCCTCTTTTCTTTTTTTAATAACTATAAATTCAAACTTAGGGAAGCTTTCCTTTGTCTTGAAAAACAAAACAAAATAACAAAGCTTCTGTATCATTTGCTAACCTGATTTTATTTATTTATTTATTATTATTTTTTTAGAGACAGGGAGAGCGGGGGAGGGGCAAAGGAAGAGGGAGAGAGAGAATCCCAAGCAGGCTCCACGCCCAGCATGGAGCCCCATGTGGGGCTCAATCTCATGACCCTGTGATCATGACCTGAACTGAAATCAAGTCAGAGGCTTAAATGAATGAGCCACCCAGGCGTCCCTTGTTATTTAAGATTTATATTTTTTTTTGAGAGAGAGAGAGCACAAGCTGGGGGAGGGGCAGTGGGAGAGGGAGAGAAGCTCAAGCAGACTCTGCACTGAGCTCAGAGCCTGAAGAGCTGAATCCCATGACCCCGACATCGTGACCTGAGCCGAAATCAAGAGTTGGATGCCTTACCGACTGAACCTTGCTGACTGAGCCTCCAAGGTGCCCCTGATTTCGTCTTAAGAAAGAAGTGGTAGTTATATTGCAAAAGTAAAATTTCTACCATGAATGTTGCAATTCTATGTCTGGTGACACTAAAGGGAGACAATAGCATTGTTGCCAAAATTATAATCTGTTGGTGGCATTTGTGGGAAAAGAAGGAAGCGCTTACAAATTTCTAAATAACAGTCAACTGCTAGGAAATTCTAAACTTACAGGCCAAAGAGGGAATGAGGTTAGTAAAATGCCTCAAGAGAGTTTGAATAAAATACTGGATTTGAGAGTTACTGGAACTTGGATATGCAAAAATAGGGTGGTAAGTTGGGTCATGCTTACAGTGGTCTCAAGTTCAAGTAAACTGCTGTGATAATATACCACTTCATATGTCTCATACTTTTCAAGGAGCTTTTCTTTCCCTCAGTAGGTGCTTGCAGAAGGTACGCTCAGTCATTTTCAATATAGATGCCTAGATCCAAAGCCAAAGCATGAGAAAGGAAGAGAGATGGAATGAAGAGAGTCTGCAAAAAAAAAAAAAAAAAAAAATATCCCCTTTCTTTCTGGTTTCACTTTTCCTCATGCTCCCAGAAACGGAGTGGAAACTGAAGTGGAACTCCCTGGAGGAATGGTTTCAGGCCTGCTGGACCAGTCAGACATACAGTCTATACTTTGCTTCAAAGCATCAGCTTTTCTAACTTCTGACTGAGAGCTATGATCTCTGCTGCTGTGCATTTCTACATTAAACATATAATCTGCCCATCTTTTTGTGGGGAAGGACTATCACAGTAAGGACTTCCCCTTGAACTACTCTGTCCTGATTCATGTTGTGTTCTCAAAAGAATCTCTTCCATGTCTCCAGTGTAGATAGAGGGTTGAGGAAGATACATGAGCCAGCCCCCCATTTTCCTCATTGCCATTATCATTGCCATTGCTGCTGTTCATGGTAGCTCCACCCAGGAATCTTCCTCACCTACATGGTGCTTTACAACAAGGGAAGAATTATAATACAGGGAATATAATTCATTCCCTTCTCAATTTTCAGTTTTATTATGATATAGTACATCAAAGTTTTTTGGTTATTATAATTTGTTACAGAGAAAGTAGCTCATTTATTCAACTGAAATGTGTGTGCTAAAGAAAAGAGCAATAATATGAATAACTAGTTTGTTGATATTTAAATTTTTTTTTTTTTTTTAAGATTTTATTTATTTTTTAGAGAGCGAGCAAGAGAGAAACAGCATGAGAGGGGAGAGGGTCAGAGGGAGAAGCAGGTTCCCCGCTGAGCCGGGAGCCCAATGTGGGACTCTATCCCAGGACCCTGGGATCATGACCTGAGCCGAAGGCAGACGCTTAACCATCTGAGCCACCCAGGCGCCCGATATTTAAATTTTTTAATGTGTTTTTAATCTCTAAATTTGAATGCCCAATCTGTATTTCACATTGTTAGGTCTAAGCACTCTGTTTTTCGTGTGTTTAAAACCAAGAGATTGCTAGATTGCTTTTTTGACGAATTGGTGAAAATGTATCCTCTGATACAAAGTGTCAGCATGAATCATCTTTAAGGTACTTTGTGTTAAACATTACATTGACAGGTCTTAATACCATTATGGTCATTCTTCTAGAGGAGAGTGATTTGGCTACATGATGTTGCATGTCTGTTATATAAAGTCTATAGTATGATTTCTATGGGTAATGTGTTTGTCTTCAGCCACTTGAACACAACATCAGGGTAAAACAAACTGTCTAGCTGTCAAAGTGGAACTAATTTTGAAAACCTACAGGAAAGGAGGAGGTGATGGCAGCTATAATCTGTTGGATGAAAGGTTTGGGCATATAGATCTGCAGAGAGGAAAATAATATTTTGTTCTCTAAATTATAAAAAGAAATGGCTGGGATAAATGCCTTTTGGATTTTGACAGATAGTTTTGTTTTTTCTATGATTTATGTTTTGTGATCATTTTTGTCTTACTATATTTGAGACGATTTTTCCATTGTACTGGTATTGAGAAGAGCACTTTATTGAGGCTTCTAAGTAACATGACTGGTGTGGATTTTTTTTAATAGACTGTAGAGCAGTTTTAGGTTCACAGAAATATTGAGGGAAAGTACAGAGATTTCTCATATACTACCTGCCTGCACACATGCATAGCCTTCCCTGTTATCAACATCTCCCATCAGAGCGGTACATTTGTTACAACTGATGAACCTCTGTGGACACATCATTGTCAGCCTAAGACCATAGTTTATGTTACAGTTTACTGTTGGTGTATATTCTGCAATTTGGACAAACTCATGATGACATATATCCACCACTATAGTATTATACAGAGTAGTTTCACTTTTCTAAAAATCCTGCGTTCCACTTGTTTGACTCTCCCTCCTGCCTCACCTCTGGCAACCACTGATCTTTTTACTGTCTCCATAGTTTTTCCTTTTCCAGAATGTCATATAGTCGGGACCATGTGATATATAGCCTTTTCAGATTGGCTTCTTTCACTTAGTAATATGCATTTAAGTTTCCTCTATGTCTTTTTATGGCTTGATAGCTCATCTCTTTTTAGCACTGAATTTTTAGCACTCCTTTGTCTGGATGTACCACCATTTATTTACCCATTCACCTAGTGAAGGAGATCTCAGTTGCTTCCAAGTTTTGACAATTAGGAATAAAGCTGATACAATCATGCATGTGCAGGTTTTTGTGTGAACATGAGCTTTAAACTTCTTTGTGTAAAAACCAAGGAGTGCAGTCTGGTAAGAGTATGTTTAGTTTTGTAAGAAACTGCCAAGCTGTCCTCCAAAGTGGCTGTACCATTTTGCATCCCCACTGGCAATGAATGAGAGTTCCTTTTGCTCCATAGACTCACCAGCATTTGGTGGTGTTGGTGTTAGACTTTGGCTATTTTACTAGATGTGTAGTGGTATCTCGTTTTAATTTGCATTTCCCTGATGACATATGATGTGGAGCATCTTTTCATATGCTAATTTGCCATCTGTACATCTTCTTTGGTGAGGTATCTGTTAAGGTGTTTGGCCCATTTTAAATATCAGATTGATTGCTTTCTTATTTAAGAGTTCTTTGTATATTTTGGATAATAATCCTTTATTAGGTGTGTCTTTTGAAATTGTTTTCTCCCAGTCTGTGGCTTGTCTTTGCATTCTTTCAATATTGTCATAGACATTTTCAATCTTTTTTTTTTTTTTTAAGATTTTATTTATTTATTTGACAGAGAGAGGCACAGCGAGAGAGGGAACACAAGCAGTGGGGAGTGGGAGAGGGAGAAGCAGGCTCCCCGCTGAGCAGGGAGCCTGACATGGGGCTCGATCCTAGGACCCTGGGATCATGACCTGAGCCAAAGGCAGATGCTTAATGACTGGGCCACCCAGGCGCCCCAGATTATAATTTTTTATTTTTGTTTATGTGGCATTAGAATTACAAGATAGGGCTTTTGGTTTTTTTCTCTTTTTACTTTATTTTTTAACCCTGCCAGAGAGTGGCAAGTTAATAAAGATTGGAAATCCACAGGATTAATTTGTGGCCTCCAGCTAAGCCAAATATTAGTCTTGTGTTTTGGGGGAAATTCATTTAACTTCTCTGAGCCTCAGTTTTATCAATTACAAATTGGGAAGAATAGCTCTCTGTCTCACAGAAATAATGATATAAAAGTGTTTTGTGAAAATGCTACATTTTTACAAATGTCAGGTTTTCAGATATGTCTTTAAGAGTGTGTAATTTTTCCTCTCCCTGAGTCTGAAGATTCCTTTGTGTTTTGATTCTGACTTTTCAATGCCCTGCAGCGCACTTAGGGCACAGACTAATTGGCATATTATGATTCTTCCTGACTCATCCTTGTTCCCTCCCTCTTCTTTCTCACTGTCTTTCATTTCCTGGGATTGTGTTGCTACATTAGAAGTAAGTCTGTCTCCTGAAAAGGGCAGTACAAGTCCACTGTGGTAAGGCTTCTCTTTTATTTTCTATGTCATGTACTAAACTATATACTTACTATGAAAGATTTAGTTTTAAATTACATAAAAGCTTATTGGTAAAAATGTCATCTGATGTCTACTATAATATTTAATATATTTTTTTAAAGATTTTATTTATTTATTTGACAGAGAGACACAGCGAGAAAGGGAACACAAGCAGGGGCAGTGGCGGAGGGAGAAGCAGGCTTCCTGCTGAGCAGGGAGCCCGATGCGGGGCTCGATCCCAGGACCCTGGGATCATGACCTGAGCCGAAGGCAGCAGCTTAACGACTGAGCCACCCAGGCGCCCCAATATTTAATATTTAAGTAGTTTGAATAAAATTAATTTTTGCCTTTTTTCTCTTTGACTTAAAGCTTCTCATTTCCATTTTAAGAATAGAAAGCCACAAAAAGTGTTTTTGTTTGTAATCAAGAATATTTGAAGACTGTCTTTTGGGAACTTTTAGGTAAGAGCAGAGTTTTTATACTCCGGGAGGTGACACATAGTTTGTGATCTAAAAATCACTAAGTGGGTTTTGTGATTGAAATAATTTTAGTGTAATGAGGGTAAGTACTGTTTCATGAAGTCCATGTGTTTTATATGCAGGTGTGAGTATTCATTGCACTGTGTTCCAAAATACATTTTTTGTGGGTCTTGGTCATCATTAAATAGATGGAAAATTATTTCTCTGGAATATCTTTCCCACTTTGCATTTTCTCATTTTAGGTTAATAGTGATCTGAGAGACATATGGTATCCTGCTTGACTGAATGTAGAAGAGTAATTATCTGTTTCTGTTTTTTAAGGGGAATACTTGAGAGATAGATATTGTATAAAGGCCAAGAAGTAACCGTAACGGTTTGTTGGTACATCTTAGGGCAGGTGAGTCCCTAGATGAGTTTACCAGGGAATATGTCTTTGGAGTTCTGCCAAAGCATCTTCAGATGGAAAAGTTAAGTCTGTAAGGAGCTCAATTTGTCAGCAGCTATGACCCTGAAGGTAAAATACTGCTTGAAGTGGCAGAATAATTTGTAACTGATGTGAACCCAAAAAAAGGAAGCAAAATGCAGTCGATACAAGCAGAATAAAGCGGCAACTGCACATTTTTGAAGTGGTTCTTTTAATGATCTGCAAGCTGTTTTTATTTTGTTCCTACCACCAAAACCAAAGTTACATTTATATTTTCTTACATTTATTTAAAGATACTCCCCTTGGGCACCTGGGTGGCTCAGTTGGTTAAGCAACTGCCTTCGGCTCAGGTCATAATCCTGGAGTCCTGGGATCGAGTCCCGCATCGGGCTCCCTGCTCAGCAGGGAGTCTGTTTCTCCCTCTGACTCTCCCCCCTTTCATGTGCTCTCTCTCTCATTCTCTCTCTCTCTCAAATAAATAATAAATAAATAATAAATAATCTTTTAAAAAATAAATAAATAAAGATACTCCCCTTATCTCCATATTTCAGTTTCTTTTCTCCCTTTTTATTGGAAAGGTTTCATGCACATGTCTTCGTGTACTTCGTGTACTTGCTTGAAGAAAACAGGAATAACCTTTTCTATTTACTTCTTGCAGTAAACTCAGGGGAAAGCATCTGTATGGTAATCAGAGGACTTCAGCCCAAGAGTTAATGTCATGTAGTTGATAAAAAGCATGGTCTCTGGAGGTAAACTGCCTGAGCTTAAATCCAGTTCAGTGACTTTGAACAATTATCCTCTTCAGTTGATTCAGTTTCCTGGTCTGTAAAGTGGAAATAATAATAAGGCTTACTCTGTAGCCTTGTGAGGTTTAAATAGGTTAATATCAGTAAAATCTTCAGAAGGGCACATGGTAGGAGTAAGTGGGGGTTACTGCATGTTACTGACAAGCTGTTCTCATAGCAGGCTCAGAGACCTTGGGGCAAGTTAATCTCTTTGGGCTTTCTCTGGTTTAGTTTTTGTTTTTGTTTTCAAAGAAAGATACAGTTCTCTGATTCTTTGTGCATATTTAAACTCTGATAGTTGGTCCAAATTAGTTTTGTGTTTTTGAGTCCTGGAAGTTACTCCTTTATGTTTTTTATATCAATGGGACTAAAAAAATATTTCCAACAACATAAATATTTTGTGCTAAAAATGATTTTAGATTGTTGGACTGGCTCTAATACTACTTGTAGATTTTATTCCCCCTAATCTGCTAAAATTTTTTTTTTTTTTAAGATTTTATTTATCCATTTTACAGAGAGCACAAGCAGGGGGAGCGGCCGGCAGAGGGAGAGGGAGAAGGAGAAGCAGGCTCCTCACTAAGGAAGGAGCCCAAGGCGGGGCTCGATCCCAGGACCCTGGGATCATGACCCAAACCGAAGGCAGACACCTAACCAACTGAGCCACCCACGCAACCCTAATGTGTTAAATTTTACCCAAAGTATTATCCAGAAAAGCTCTTTATCTTTTAGTGAAAGCCTACTCTTTTTTTTTTTTTTTTAAAGATTTTATTTATTTATTTATTTGAGAGAGAGAGAGAGAAACAGAATGAGAGGGGATAGGGTCAGAGGGAGAAGCAGGCTCCCCGCCGAGCCGGGAGCCCGATGCAGGACTCGATCCCAGGACTCCAGGATCATGACCTGAGCCGAAGGCATTCGCTTAACCAACTGAGCCACCCAGGCGCCCGTGAAAGCCTACTCTTAACGGTAATTGTTGAGAGAGGCCTCTATTTTTATATTTTTGCTTTATATGAATTGGTCCCAGGAGTAAAAGTCTCAGTGGTCATCTATTCTTTCTTTAATGCTTCTTACATAAGAGCACGAAATTTTTGGTGAATCTTTATTAAAATATCACGTTCCAAGTAAGAAATAAATTGTAAGGCAGGGAAGGCCATGACAGCAAGAAAAAAAGCAATTAAATCTGAATTGACTTCTGAGCCATATTTTATTCCAAGGTTGTAATTTGACAGACTTCTTGAGCAAGGGAACAAAGAGTGTTTGTTCTTAACTCTTGTTAGCTTTAAGCTGTTAAAAATAAAGCAAAATGTCATTTTATACTGAAATCTATTGCAGTTTGTTAACTCTTCCCTTATTTCTTCATGATCGAATTTTTTAAATTTCCATTTCATTTGTTTTGGCTTACAGCCCTAAAGAATAAGCAGCAAAGGTTTCCTTTCTGGGGATTGAAATTTTTGCCTTTTGTTTTAAGGTTCTTTTGTTTTTGTTTTTGCTTTTTGCTTTTTTAATCAGTTCTTGCTATGAGAGTTTCTGTTTTTAGAAGTGCAGAGAAGTAACTTGTTGAGAATTCTTATCAGTGAGCACTTAAGACCGCTCTGACCCTTGGATAACCTTCTGTTTGAAGAGCTCTGTAATTGTAAAGCGGCTCTGTGAATCCAGCTGTACTGTACGTCTCTTGAAGTGGCATGGAGTGTGAACGGAATGAGAGCAGATGTGATTCGAAGACTAAGAATAAACAACGTGAGAAGTTACATTCTTTATCTCTTAATGACTCAGTTGGGAGGTGAGGGTGGCTAGGAGCACTTTTTGAGTTTTTTAGATGAAACTTGGACAATGTTCATGGAAGGCTAACAAGAACACACTGTTTTAAGTTACTAGTAGTGGAGTAACTGACGTTCTTTGACTGTTTTGTGTAACCCTGACGTGCAGTTTCTTTGAGAAAATAGGGTAGTCTTACTTGCTTCTTGGGGGTCATAGACTGTGATTGGTTCATTCAGTGGTATAATTCTCTTAACACTCTTTTCCAGCTTCTTCCTCTTCATTTAACAAAAAGAACCCAGTTTTTAAACGTTGAGTTTCAATAATGAAGAAGAAAAATGTAATCTTAAGCAGTGCATCATTACCCTTCTTTTTTAGCTACTTTGCAAGGTTTGAAGATAAGAGAATTATAAAGTTGCTGAGCCATATTTAGTTTCTCATTTGGAGACTTTGAGAAAGCAAATAAATGAAACAAGTGTACTAAAGTCAAGTCAGTAAGGGACAATTATGTACTTCATGCTACCTTATACTATCACTACTCTTCTTCACTACTTTTCCCTCCTTGTAAAATTATTCTTTATATGAGCCTATATTTCTGTTTTCACAATGAAGCTCCTTGAAGAGATGATTTAATAAGCAGATAAACTTTTGAGTCTATAAATGACATGGCAAAGAGAAATCCCTTTGTAACAAGGTGTTAGAGGATTTGCATGACTAATTAGAATTGTGTTCTGGCAAAGAGCTAGGTAAGTACAACTTCACAGGAAAATTGAGTTTAACTCTTGATCTGGCTTTGGTGACTGGGTCTTCCTTACTCTTGGACCTCCAGGTATACTCTTCCAAAAAGGTTACAGAAATGGTTCCCTGGGTAGCTATTTTCATTCGTGTTGCCTACTATCATTCTCTGTTATTGGTGGTTCATCAAGAATCAGCAAACTCAGAATATCCTTATAGTCACTCAGTAGTCTTAATCATCTTACCTCTGCCTTTTCATTGTGCTAGAGTATGTTTGGGCTTTGGGTAGGATATTGAGGAAGCCAAATTGATTGCAGCCATTATACCCATTTTTGTTGAGCAAGATCTAATACCTGGGTCCCACCTTCAAAGATTATAATTTGATTGTTATGGGTTGTAACTTTAGCATAGGAAGTCTTAAAACTTTCACAGGTATCTCTAATTAGGCAGGAGAGTTTGAGGGCTGCTATGTTACCTGATCTCCCCAACTAGATTATAGACCCTTTGAAACAGATTTTAATTCTAAACTTCTTAAGCTTTATTAGATTGGTGACTATATGTTTATTAGTTAAACACAACTATAAACATAATGAAGCCAGTTGTTTAATTGTTCAAAATAAATATCAAGAAAGCCATGGTGAAGTACAAATTTTTTAGTGGGTAGCGTAGAATACCAAGAAAGGAAATGATGGTTGTAGAGCTCAATCAGGAAATGCTTCTTGGACGAAGTATAGTCGCATCTTGAAGAAGTGTGAAAGACTTATGTTGGAGAGCACCAAGGCATTAGTTGGATGAGTTGTGAGATCC